GAAGAAGAAGAATTTTATTTTTTTATAATTCTTAATTTAGTGTGAAAATAATCGCACGGACTCAGAATTTTTACTAAAAATACATAAATATTAGCATTTTTTAGAGGTGGTTTATTTTAAAAAAAAAATATTCTGACGTTATTTATAGTTATTTAGAATTTTAAAAGTTTTTTAATTTCACGCGTATAAAACACAATATGTTTGACTTCGAATGTTCAAAAATTATAATATGTAAATTGTATGTACTTCTTGTTTTAATTTTATAAACTCTATATTCACACAAACGACAATAATTGCACCCTTTATTACGTTATTTTATTATGATTTATTTTTTATTTTAAAAGCTACAGAAAATATAATTACATTTTTTTTTTATTATTACTTTCTAGGGCAGATACGACTCGAAATACGTATGATGTAACGGCGGGAAAAAGAAAGCAGATGAATGAAAAGGTAAAACTTACATTTATTAATTATTCGCTATATATTCTATATTCGTGATATTTTATATTGTGACGTGTTATCCGATCAATCTAATTCGGAATTGATAATAATAATATCCGTTTTACCGGTCGTATATAACTTATTATTATCATAAAACATCAATGAGATTTGAATACTATTAAACTAGTTGCATAGTAATAGTATTATTATTATTATGCTCGTATGGTAATTTTTTTATACACTCGGATTAATTTCGTTTTAAAATGCACACGCGCAATATGCGAAATGGTTTATTCCGCCGTGTAGGTACTTTGTTATTGGGTCAAATTTGAATAATACGAAATCGTAAATTATAAATTAACTGTGGGCACAGATTACACGCGCATCAGCGTGAAAAACGAAAAAAAAAATAATAATAAAATACAAAATAAAATAAAAGCCCCATAAAACATTGTGATGTTCAAAAATGTTTTTATTTTTATTATTTTTTTTGTTATTACATTACTCGTACGTATTATTGCCGCATAATGCGATAGGGTTGTGCATTACGTATCGGTATGTACTGCATGCCATGTTAATATTAAAAAAAAAAAAAAAAATTTGCAATAAAAAAACATATATACCTACGACGAAGTCATATGTTACAGTCGTATTTTAATGCTTAACGACAGGGTTCATAAACTAAATAACTAATCATTTTTCCCCAACGTGATTTCGCATAACGTACCGAGCGATATTTTCGATTAAATTTCAACATAATCGAGCGAATTATGGTTGCCGATGCATGCGTACCCACCGACTAAAATCTCACCCGAGCATAGGCGACGCCATGCTATTTTTCAGGGGGTGCATAGTAATTACGCTGATTTCTAAATAATGCTTTAATAATATTAACTAATATCAAAGCATTATTTAACAGCTAACCTCACCTAAACCTAAATAATAATAATAAATATTATGTTAGATTTTTTCCATAAGAAACTTAAAATTGATTCAAGTACAAGTATCAGTTTGAGTATTAGTGGAGATAAGATTAGTTTTAAAAACAGTCATGAGACAGGTTATTTAAGTACCTACTTATTCTAAAATATTAATAAACAAATGACAAACAAAAAGAAGCGCCACAATTCCTTCATTAGTTTATTATTGGTGCTAATAAATTAGATATTAGACTGTCTTTAAATTTCTGTGTTGATGAACAACGTTTGAGATTATTGAAAGAGCCCTGAGTTCGTCCGAAAAAATATGACTGAAAAAAGATTTGACCAACGGCTCTGCGAGAAAATTTCGTTTAGAATGGTTTGCCTCTTATCCGTGGCTACGTTACTCAGCTGTTTCCAAAGATACAATTATTTTTAAATATTTTTTTGTTTTGAAAAGCCAGTGGAGTGCAATCGCACTTCTTTGCATTCCCTTCGCGGAGCTTCTGCACCCGAGGATGTACGGGGAAAACTTTTTGTTCTAGAAATATTTTATATTGTTATGGTAAAATGGTATGCCATTACATGCATTTTTTTTTTATATTTCAGTACCTGTATTAATGTTTATTGAAATTTTGATAATGTATTACTATAAAATAGTATAAAAATACAAACGCATTATAAAAGTATATACAGTTTGAAATCCCGGGGTGGGGTAATGACATATTTTGCCCACCCCCTCCTCATCACTCACGAATGATCTATGTCGAAGATATTTAATTTAAGATTTTTATGGTCAATGATTTGTTTTTTCTTATCAGATGTACGAAAAAGGTGTGAAGGAGAATTGATCCTACTCCGGATGCTACATGAAATTTACAGAATAACGCGTAGTCAATTTTTACGAGATTATTGTTAAATTGAAAATGTATCAATTGGAAAATATTCAAATTTACTTTCAAATGAAACAAAAGTTATTTCTTGTCATTGTTACAATAAGTATATTAGATTCTGAGAGCAGTGAGAAACGTGTTGGTTTTACTATGATGTTGGTATGATTTATTAAATTATTTTTTTTTCTATTTGTGAACAATTTTTCTGGACTCCTCGATCAGAAATACTATTCCGTCATCGATATAAAGGAGACGAGGATAGTTCATGGTATAAAGTTACTTTAATTTTATTAATAATTAAGAAAAACTGGATCGAATCATCGCAAAAATGGGAATATTGCGGCGCGTACAAATACACCAACTACGGTTTCTGTTAGTTTCGTTTTTGTCTTCTTGTTGTTATAATTAACAACTACCGTGGAGACTTGAATTTTCACTGATTATTGCCTAATCGATTTTTGGTTCGTAATGATTTATCGTTGTGTACAGATATTATATAAATATTACCCTATACATAATAGCATATCCCTTCAACTTCGCATCACGTCTTAAAAATGGCTCACCCACGGTGCAAAGGAATTGATTGTGTTATCATGAAATTTGAACGAAACTCTAATAAGATCTTGATCAATAAGAATGTAAAAAGTACGATAAAAATAAATACACGACGTTTTCACGTTATATCTAGGGGGATACTATTATCTGGGACGAAACTTTTTTAAATTTTGAATTTTTGTTCTTAACAAAACTTTACAATCGTTTTAAAAACATATAAAAATCACGTGGGAGTTTGAAATATACTATATATTACGTTTCATAACATATTTTTCAAAAAAATAAAAATAAAATAAAAACACTTCGTTACAAATGAAATTGTCTTCTTTATCGTGTACAAATTTTGATTTCCAAAATGATATTATAGCTCTGGTAAAACTTGTTTTTAGAGTCTCATCACGTGCGTGTGTTTTTGCTATGAGTTTCACCGGATTTATGGTAAGATTTTTTTTTAAATTATGAAACTGTTGCGGGAATATAAATTTATAAAAACACCAGTACATTTTTAATGTTATTTATTTTTTTTTTTTTTTAGATGACACGAAGTATTCAGTTGTAAATATTTTAGTCTATTTATACGTTTTCGATAATCGTAATAGCATTGCGTACTTTGAAACTATTTCATTTCCAATATTCTTTTTACTTCTGCACCTACTCCATAGTTAATTTATAATACATTTATAAATTTATTTTAAATAAAAATCCAGTCTCCGGTTTGCACATATTTGACTGCATTTGTCAAACAATCGTGATATATTCATATAGTTACCGTATATGTCTTTTTTGGTAATAAATTATTGTCGGCGCTATAAGTATAAATTCTGCCAAAATGGGTCGTATACAACTTCCGTTTTTGGATTTCCGCAATACCGTCAATTTCTAATTCCTACACTGCGTACCTATAGTGATACACAAACGGATGATTTGTGTAAAGATAACCGGTGTTATTGGTGGCAAAGGGAATCTTAAAAATCTTAAAAATTCCAAAAAGTCTGGAATGTCCATTGTTCAAGCGTGCAGTTCCCGATAGTTCTTCGATATTTCCCGAAGGTCCCATATTTAAACAATAAATTATATTTCTATACACAGTTTTGATTGGATTTGGTAATCTAAATCCGAATAAACCGGAATCGAAAATAGTGGGTCTTACGGTTAACTTGAAATTTTTTTTTTGAAAAAAAAAGGGTATGGGTGGTTATCATATGTATATATAATATATTGCATAATCAATTTTATCACTTACATGTAATAATATTTACCTAACAATAAAACTGAAATTTAATTATTGTTTTGGAACATTACACATTGCGGTCTGCGCCGGAACCTAAAGGCAATTACAATATTGCCTACTTATTTGTAAGGTAAAAAAAAAAAAAAAAAAAAAAAAAAATAAAATAAAATAAATACTCCGGAGACGATAAATCCCCCACTATAATTACGCAGCCGCGTTTCTGCAAATACCTATAAAAATAATATTATGGGCATTTTTTGTGCATTTTCGTGTTGAAAAAAACATTTTGATACCTCCCGAGCTGAAAGAACCAATTTTAGATATTATTTTTTTTTTTTTAACAAGCCCGTTGTATATTCAACGTTGGCTTGTATCCATATAGAACTATACGGTTACACAATATTTTATAATTTCAAGTAATTTCGTCGTATTTCAACGGAAAAAAAAAACACTAGCGCTTTATAATATTTTAATATTACTATTATATTTTGCTCCCCAGAGGGTTATTTTTTTTACGTGTTTACGGAATATTCATCTGAATATCAGTTTCACCCGAGGGTAAATGATTAAACGCCAATGCATAAAATGTGAAATAATTGTAAAACGAATATTAGCACATACCTGGAATAGGGCAAAATATGTTTTAATGATTCTATTGAAAAAATACAATTTGCGGTTATGGTAATCGATAAAAAAAAAAAAAAAAATTATTAAAATACGGTATAATCAATAAAGTTTTCCACGGAATTTGCACATGTCGAAAGCTAAACGAACTACCTATATATATATAAAAAAAAAATATATAATACGATTATAATACCTCTTATACGTACTTGGAGGTTCAAATTGATTATTAATTTTTATTATTAATTGAACCTAACTGAAATAAATTTATATAATATACGGCGAACAGTGTAGTCCTAATCAGAAGTCTTCAACGGGAGGAGATGATGAATCTATCACCGTAATCGAATCAGATTTTCAAAAAAAATCGAGCAAGTTAAATTAAACCATTTGATATTTCTGTTACAAACTTAATATTATTACTTATATTTTGTTATTAGCATTAACCTTGAAAAAAACCATTATAAATTAGTTTTGAAAAAATGTCGAGTGGATGTTAAGAAGTTATTGTATTTTCAGGTCATTGATGCGAGATATACCCCAATCTCACTGCAGGTGTTACTAATTTTGAATTCTACATTCGTGAAAAAACCGTATCATACGATTGCCGATAAGAAAACAGTGACGAGCAAATTGACGTTTTTGTCGCGTAATTAGAATATTATACTATGCCGTTGTATACATATATAATCCAATGTCTCTCGTATAACCGATCAAAGTAGTACTTTATCATGGTACCGACTTCAAAATCAGTTCACCCGAAATTGCTTATAATTGTTAAAATCAAACGAAATCGCTTAATATTTTTCTATTTCTTCTTCGCCTTTATTCAAACTATTCGGGGTCGGCCACTGTTGTCCTAAACATCAACTCGACCCGACACCGCTTGTTATAAGATTGTTTTAATTTTGCCGATTGTGTCGTCATGACAGTCATAGTATACCTACTAAAAGCTTTGGCTTAAATTTTTTTTTGCAAACGTCAGTTTCTGAAGTTTAGACAATTTTACCGGGTTTATGTTATTTTCTACGGTTAATGATTTCAAATAGTTTTGAATAAACTATGATGGCTTAAAAATACAGTACATTGTGTAATTCGGACATTTATTTTGTATTTGTTTTGTCATCCGTTTCGGACAATACAGCACCCGAATTCTACTCACATATGTATATTACCGTGTACAACAGAACAAATACATGTGAAAATTGTGTGGATCCGTGGGAGGAAACAAAAATATTTAAAGCGAGTCCACGTGGGAATATAATATTATTTTTTTATCGGTTTTATGTATATATCTAAGATAATCTTATCAATATATCAATATTATTTTATTGAAAAGAAATGGAAAGTGAATAAAAAAAAAAAAGTATCAATCAGAGAAAGCGATTTTTTTTGTTATATAACTTAACATTTCATCCGATTATGTAACAAAGCCGACCGGTAGTTGAAGAAAACAATTGCCTTACTACGATAAAAAAAGTCGGTTTCAAAAACACGAAGAAAATATGCGCGTGATCCGGAGTGAAATCTGACTATATCCAGACTGTCGTAAAATCCGAATTGAAAAATAAAAAAAAAGCAGATATTTCTGATAGGTGCGCAACCGTTGTAAGTGGGAAGCTGGGAAGGTAGAAGGCATAAAGTTATTTTATTTATATCTGTGAGCAATGATAAACCAATGCTAATGAAAAACGATACCGAACGAAGTTTGTTTATACATGGTTAGTAAGGATGTGCTATTTACGGTTTTTTTCAAAATTTGATTTAAAACCACAATAAAAAATATGGCTACATTATAATCTATTATTCTTTTACCACTAGTTAGAACTTATAATGAACCGCCCGTTAACTTTTTAAGCATTTCTGTTTAGTCTTATAATGATACCTACAATATACCTACCGAATAAAAACTATGTAAAAATCTCGTAAACATAAAATGCCTATGCGAGTAAATAGCTCAAAAATCGCTAAAATTTTTCAACGCGTCTAGAAAAAAAAACAAATATATGTGTTCTGTCAAAATTTCAAGTCTCTATGAATATATTTAGCTGAATCGAAATAATTGTAAATAATAAAACTATTATTTCCGTCAAAATCGCCGTTCATTCTAAGCTTTAGATTAACGAATAGGCGTAACAATTTCATGGTTTTTGGAAATTGTATTTTTTACTAGAAATCTTGTTTCGATCGAAAAATGGCATTTCACCATTTTTGTCAAATTTTAGTTCTAGTTAGTGACGAAGAAAACCATTTTTTGTATTTCCGTACGATATCATTATTTAAAATTTTTACGCACGGTGCTTTCTAGCAGAAATAATGCTCCAATAAAAAAACGACAAAAAAGCGTTGCTGTTGAATTTTTAATCTAGTCGGTGGGTAAAATGTCGTTTTTTAATTTTTTGTGTAGTTTTTTAATAATTGAGCATAACTGAAAAAAAGAAAACTTAGAAACTACGGGGAAATTTATGAAAATAATGATTTGATTATTTTGAATTTTATTTTTGTTGTTGTAATTCAGTTTAAAATATTCGTAGAAATTTCACATTTTGATAAAAAATGTATACTTGACTTTTCTAGAAACGGTAAAATTTTACGAGCTTTTTCTTTAAATTTTATTTGTTAGGTACTCTGCATTTAAAATTATGAGACTAAATAAAAATGATTTAAATTTAACAACAGGTTCATTATAAATCGTAAATTATGTCTAAAAAAAACAAATTGAGTTTGATGTAGTATTTCTTTTTTTTTCTTTTTTTTTTTCATATACATACTTTAATACCAAATTTGACGAAAATCGTAAATATTAAGAAGACCTTACACGTCTATCAAAACGTGTATAACCGAGCTTCGCTCTGAAATGTTTTTCGTTAGAAATAGTTTATCGTTGCTTATGGATATAAGTTAAATTGAATTACATATCGTATTTTCCCGACAGTGGCACATCCGTTCCCAGTAACAGTCCTTTTTATTTTTGTTTTACTCAATTTTTAAGAAAATTGCACGGAAAATTTAAAAAAAAAATTCTCTTACTCTATTTATTTTAGGTTTTCTATAGGAACATTATTTCTGGTAGAGAACAGAAACTGTACATCTTTATAACAATAAAAACGTAAAGCTATACATTTATTAGTTAATTTTACGATTTTTCGTTTTTCTAGTTTTTCCCAATTATATGAAAACATTAATTTGATTCCCTTCAAAACCTTTAGATTAATTAATTGATTGTTGAATGCGATTTGACAAATCGTCAAACCGCGTAATTTGTCAAATATGAGGTATTCGCAAAAGCTAAAGAACGAAGATGTTTCATGAAAAGTTTGAAGAAAAGAATAACCAAATTAATAGGACATATACTAAGACATAACAGCCTATTGAAAAGAGTTATGGAAGGAATGATAGTAGGAAAGAATTTAGTTGGTAGACCCCCTCTGGACTACTTCCAACAAATAATGAGGGATGTGGACGTCTCAGGCTACAGACACATGAAGAGGAAAGCGGAAAATCGGGAAGAATGGAGAGTTGCAACAAACCAGCCCCACGGCTGCTAACTAAAAAAAAAAAAAAAAAAAAATGCGATTTGTGATTAGTTTTAAAGCCTGAGTAAAATTTAATTTAATTTCTAAACTCAACTAGTTTACTAAAATTGTATTTGTGTATTTTCTAAACTACGGTTTTTTTTTATAATTTATTTCATTTTTGCTAGTTCACAAGTATTTTAGAATTTCAAAATTCGTCTGCAACATTTTCTTCTACTCGCTGTTCAAAGCATACTTATAGACTAGTGAGTAATCCGTGAGAAATGACAGCGCGTATTTGTAAATTAGGAGGTTGTTGGCCGGGCGTACCCATACCGTTGTCGATTACCCGTCCGAAAAGTTTCCGAGTAAAAGTTTTCCAGTGGTGGCTCCGCGGTCCCAAAAGTATTTCAGAAGGAGAACTAAGAGGAAAAAACACACGTCCTTTCAAAAACTAGCATATTAGGTTCCCGAGCGGCGCTCGGGTTCAAGAAAGAAAAAAAACAAAAGGAAATGAAAAGAAAACTAAGAGACTCGTATTTTGTGAGTATGCCACGTTTCGGTCGTCCGTTGTCTCGAATACCGAATGGAATATTATTTTATTTGTTTGATCGTCATCCTATTGCGCTATCTATTTTGCGCGAAATCTCAAAATGCCAAAAACCATCGCTAGCGGCCCAGCCGGGAATTTGAGAGGAAATAAAATGCCATAAACTTTAAATGTTTTTTTTTAAAATTCTAACACAATACATGTACCATAATTTATTTGTTAAAACCATTATTATATCAGATATATAAACTTAATGATTGACCATCTTAAACTTAGTTCATGGAAAATATGACGAACACACTTCGCACGACGGATGGGTCACTGTTGTTGGTGGAAAGTTGGGAATGTAGGTTACATCAAGTTATTTAATTGATATACAAAAGCTTCGATTTACCGTTGCTTATGAAAAACGATTCTGAGCGTAGTTCTGTTAAACGAGTTTTGGAAAGCCGTAATATTTACAATTTTCATAAAAATTTGACATTAAAATTCTTTTTTTTAAAAAATATTAAATATTAAATACAATTTTTTTTTTGTACACAAAGTACGGTTAATAATGAACCTGCTGTTGAGTTGTTAAACATTTCTTTTTAGGTTAACAGCTTTATCAGCAGAGTACTTACCGTGTAAAAATTACGTAAAAAACTAGCAAAATTAAAATGTCTATAAATAGTTCAAAAATTGCTTAAATATTTTGAAAATTTGACCGCGTCTTGAAAAGACAAATTTGATTTTCCTTTCCAAATATCATATCTTAAAAATATTTTTAACTAAATTACAACAAGAAAGCAAAATTGAAAATAATAACAGCATTATTTTCGTAGTTTTTTTTTTTGTTTTTCCGTTTGGCTTAATTTAAAAATATAGCTACACGGAAAATCAAAAAATTAATTTTTTACCTTCCATACTAATATGGTTGAAGGGTTATAATATAAGAAGTGTTATAAGAATATAGTGGAGTCGTTTACGCAGATGTTTAATCAGATGGAATGTAATAAATAATAATCATGATAAATAAATAGATAATTAAATTGTAGATTCTATTTTCTTTAGCTAACTCGACAATGGAAATCTAAAAGCCGGATCCAATAAAAACCGATATTTAATCAATAAATCCAGATTTCTCGTGATTTGGTTGAAATTATTTTTATCGAATTATTCATAACACACATGCATAACATGTTATACATATGCATATTGTATAATATTATTATATGATTGTAAATTTCAAGATAATATCACTGAACGAATACTCGCAATAATGTTATGTTATGTTAAAAATACGACGGGAGAGGGGTATGGATGTGGACCATAACCCCCCTCACGCGGCCACACGCCGCTGTAGGTACTTAACCGCAAACGCCTCGGTAGTGAATATTGGAAGATTCCTCTCACGGTCGGGAAATTACTCAACTCGAAACGAAGACGAGGTCCACCGCGTGTAGTATATAGGCGGTTTGTCACCCCGAAAGAAAATAAATATAAAAAAATACAGAGGAGAGTATGATAATATACGTATTGTTATTCGGCTCACGCCAAACCCGTCGAAAAGACGAATATTTATCTTGTCATTTTCAATAGTGCCGTTATATATTATTATTATATTGCTGCGGTTGTTGTCGCGGTTTTGTTTTCTGTCATCGTCTCGTGTCCTCTTCCACACGTCGGTTTTTCTCGA